AAATAATCATGAGATCTTAATTACTCGAATAGTCACTACTACAAGACTATATGCAGCTTACTCTAGTATTAAGTATTTATTATCGAGTATCTAGGTTTATATCAAGTACCTTATTGTCTCATTGCATCACTGTTGATATTCTAAAGAGCGTGTCGTCGGGTCGAGTCTCATTGACTCATTCCAAAGAAGAATGTTGGCATTATAATGATCAAATACTATAATAGATTTAGAAGAATGTTAAAATAACTCTTCAAAAGTCAAAACCACAAATCAACAAAAATAAATAAATAAGTAATATATAATACTTATTATTTATTTTTGTTGATTTGTGGTAAAATAAGTAATAATGATTTATATGTGATTATAATAAAGATGATGAACAAAAATGTAATTTCATAAATGAAGTCACTATGTTAGTAACTTTCAATGATTATTATATGTTCAATTTCACACTCTTATTGACCATGAAGTTATACTCATATAGTCATATATAGTAATTTTGATCACATTTTTATTTATAAATTTTATTTCTGTAATATCTTAGGGAAAATAGAAAGTCCCCATAAAAGTCCACTTTAATAAAGTAATTACTCCTATCTAGAGGGAAGATATGGTACTCATGTTTTAGAGGTATACATTGTATTTACTATTGTGTAGGGAAGTTTATGTAAAAAAAAGAATCTTTAAAGAAGGATTTGGTCATTATTAGAAGATAACCTCAAAAGAAATTAATGTATTTAATCAGATGGTATAAGATATATTTTCCAAATAGAATCATATTTAAAGTCACATAAAATTTTCTGGTATTGTGTTGTTTTTCCAAAGGTCTTAAAAAATTCCAAACATAAACTTAAATATAATATTACTTCTGTTCCTAAATAAACAAAATATTTATGTTTTCGTCTATTCCAAAATTATCACTCATTTCTTTAAAGAAATCATTATGTAATTTATGTTGTTTTCTTCTCCTCTGAATAAATTTCAATGACACTTTTCTCATTTTCTTAACCTCCTGTTTAAGGAAAACATTATTCATTTTTGTTATTTTATTTTCCTCTTGAAAATTACCGGCTTAAGAAAACATACCACAAAATGTAGAGAAGGATTAAATAGGTTCAGAAACTAGCAAAAGGGCTAAAGAATTTTTGTTTAAAAGTTGAAGGCTAATAGCTAAGGGGACAAAGGCGGTAACTAAGTCATTATATGTACTCATTATATACAAAGTATTTGCTTTAGCTAAATAAATTCATCTCCATGAAGGGTGCCTTATTTTTCTCAGAATTGCGGTGGTAGAAAATCCTTTGCAAATTAACAAAAAAAATGAAAACTACTGCACAAAGGAAATGAATATATGATGGAGGCCATCATCTGTTTGGTGTGGTCACCTTAAAACATTCATTGCAATCAAAATAGAGAATTAGGTTGTCCGACAGGGTCCAAGAATCAAACATTATTATCAAGATTCTTGGACCTTTTCTTGTTTTTTTTTCAATAGCATGCAACCTCGATTTGTTTCAACCCTTATAAGGTTATTGTATTATCAGTTCCACAACCCACCAGCCCACCAGCTGGTAATCATCATCCTGCAATGGGGATAAGGCTTGCAAAACAAGGGCCAAAGAAGAGCAGCTACTTCCACCTGCAAAAAAACCTGCTGCTCAATTACCTCTTCCGAAATTGCTACATGCGTAACTTGGTCTCAAAGAAGAGAAGGCGGTTGCTCGTCGGAGGCTATGATCTAGACATGAGTTATATTACCGACAGAGTTCTGGCAATGTCATTTCCTGCAGAACACGTGCGGGCTATGTATAGGAATCCTTTATGGCAGGTTAAATCGGTTCTCGATATGAGGCATTCTGGACATTATAAGGTGTGAAATGTGTGTGCTCATTTCTATTTTTTTCTTTTTTATGTAAATGTAATGCATGAAGTCTGTGGAGGTTTTTGAGTTTCAAGTTTCCCGTATGAAACGGGAAACGTATGAAACGTTAATGTGTGGGTCGTGCATAGGTCGCGAATGTTTTACACCTCTCTTTCACTTGTATTTCTTCTGTTTTGTAATGGCTGAGTTGCTTGTAGGTCTATAACTTGTGTATAGAACAAAGTTATGATTCAGCACATTTTTATGGCCGGGTTCAGAGGTATCCAATTGATGACAACCATGTCCCAACTCTCCAAATGATCAAGGATTTTTGCGAAGATGTGCATTCATGGCTGTCAAGTGACCCAAAAAATATTGCTGTCATACACTGCATGGTAAAACACACCAATGCTTCTACCAAAAAGTCATAGTTAAATCATGTTCTTCTTTAAATGATCGCCATTTATTAATTTTAAGTAGGGGTGGACCAGGTTCCGGGTCACATAAAGGTTGAGCCTGTATCAGTTATATCTGAACCAGTCTGGTTCTCAAGTTGATACTGGTTTCTTAACCTATTCATATAAAAACGAAACAATCTGGTCTCATTTAAGAGGATCGAAAACCAGGCTGGATTTGGACCGGTTCTGGTTTTGGTCTTGAACTATTTTTTTCCAGTCAGGTTGTGGACAAATATTTGACTGATCCAGCAGGTCCAGTATGGTTCCAGAACTATAAGTCTGTAACCAGGTCCACCCTAATTACCAATCCTTGGTAAAGAATCGATCTTTGGTTCTTCATCCGATAATGCTTCTTACTCATTGGGAGCATGGTGAATTTTTTGCTTGTGGAATATACAGGCAGGTAAAGGTCGAACAGGCATGATGGTATGTGCATACCTGGTTTACACAGGCATGTCAGCAGAGGAAGCTCTACAAGTGTATGCCGAGAAGCGTACTACTAACAATGAAGGAGTAAATGTTCTTATTACTTACTGTCCTTAGTTTTATCATCTGACCATAAGAAGTTGGGGATCAACCACACTATGTGCTAAACAGGTTTCAATACCAAGCCAGCGACGTTATGTTGGTTATTGGGAGAAGGTGCTTTCCTCCTCTGAGAGAGTTGGCCGTGCCCTTCGGTGTGTGGAACTGGGTAACCCATATTCTCGAGAGCTTAGGAGCATTCGGTTATATGATACAGTAAATGTTGATTCAATCTTTTTTGTTGTCTCTGAGTTGCAAAATGTAAGTTGTTTTCTGTTGTTTCTTAGCAAGTTTGGGTCTGGGACATTATATGTACTTTATTTAAACATTCTTAGGTGGCATACATTTATTGGGTGGTGAAAAGTTGGATAATGTTTTACCACCCAATAATTAGACGCCATATAGGAATGCTACAAATGATGATGATGATGATGATAGGAATGCTACAAATAATGTTCCCCGGACTCCCGGAGTTGCTCTCTTTTCATTCAACTGCGTTATTTTTTATCTTACACTTTTTTAGAACAGCATTATTGTGTTAGTGTAATATGTATTACAAACAGATTCCAGGAGAGAGATATGCCCCGCCTGTGGAAATCTCAAAGAGTTGTTGCAGACGAAACAAGCGCGGCCTTCAAAGAGCCAATAGCCCTAGGTATTATTATTCGTACCTCGAGGAAGAGGATGAACCACCAGAAGAGAAGGAGCCGCGATTGGTGATCCAAATGGACACAGAAAGTTCCATTCTCTACAACAAGACCTGCCTTGACTACTACTACGAAAATCCTTTGCAAGTAAGATTATATCCAGCCTGCCTGCCCGCCTAGGGGTGGACCCTGTCCGTTTCCAGTACCGGAATCAGCCTGTTTTGGTCCCATAAAGACTGTACAGTATCTTTCTCTGGTAAAAATTGGTTTTGGTTCCACTTCTCTAGTCAGTTTCAGCCAGTTTATTATGGAGTAGCTTAAAAGTGTAAAACAGAACCTTTCCGGTCTGCTCCTACTTTGGCCAAACCATTTTTTACCAGAGAAAGATACCGTCCTGTTCCGGTATGGTCCAGTTCCAGAACCAAGAATAAGACCAGGCTGACCCCTAAGAGAGAAACGGCACTAAAAGCTGTGTGTTCAATCTATACCTTAGTTTAGACACATATCCAGTAACTTTGATTAAGCTGTCTGTCTATTTATCATACAGGTGAAAGGAGATGTACGTATAATATTCTACGAGAAGCTCATCGGAGGGCGTCTCTTTTATGCCTGCTTCAACACTTCTTTTATTAAGAGCGGCCTGTTACAGGTGTGTGGTTGTGATTCCTGCAACGCAGAAAAGGTTCAGTTTAAAGTTTCTGCATGATCAAATTATATCTGATTCATACACTGAAACTTTCAGCTTTCTCTGCGAGAAATGGACAAAGTTGGAAACAAGGGCAGGTCAATATGTGGCCCAGCATTCTGTGTGGAGTTGATCTTCGGTCCAGCAAATCCCAGCACCTTACTCACACCTCAGTCATCAGAGGTTGAAACTTTAAAGAAGGATTGAACATCCCACTTTGTTCATGTAGAGTGTCTAGCATATGAGGGCTCCATTTTTGTATATAGAAACGCTACATGATTTAAGAGTCAAGTGATCTCCACTTTACTTCCTCTATCCCAATGATTGACTTGGCACGCTTACAAATGAAAGTGTATGGTTGTGATTGATGTAAAAGGGAAAAATAATCTCAACCATACAAGTCTTTCCTTAAATGAAATGGGAGGAGAGTTTTGAAAGAGAAAAGAATGGCAAGGGTAGTGTATGTTACTCTGCTTCCTGTAGTATACAAATATACACTGCACTCTCTTTGGTATTCAGTGTCTGCCTGACATATCTCTCCATTGGATAATGGAAGGTTAGAGAATTTTGTAACATAGAATGGCATTTCAATACAAACTTCACACATTAGCTTATTCCGTTACTATTTAACATTGATAATTGGTTTTATAATAATCCTACATACAAATCGGACATTCGAGAGTGAGATTGGCTCTTGTGACGAACTATACATTAGTAATATACTGGATCACTTGAGTCTATAATTCGCTGAGAACTTGGACCAAATGTATTGGCCTCCCAACGAGATTAGGTATATGTTTTCTTGCAATCAGAATGCAGGAACCTTGTTAAACCATCTAAAGACATTAAAATTTAAAACAAGAGGAAATTTGGAGACTTCACCAATCACAGCCTCAAACACATAAATATATGAAAAAGACATCACATTGCAGTGACAAATGTCTGAGTATTATTGCATCTTTTCAACATTTCCGCATCTTAGAATACGGGAAAAAAGAAAAACGAATATTAAGCAAGGCCATGAAGAGAGTCAGTACTAGGTATGCATCGCAGGGCTGGGAAAAATGGCCTGGTACCCACATCAAATCATTCAAAGCCTTGGCGTCAGCTACTCATCTTTCTTTTTGCATATTCATTGGCAATGCTTATTGCACTATCACTGTGGCGTAATGAGAATTCTGCTAGCAATGTTTGCCTCTCTTCCGGTGTTAGATCCCCATGGCATCCCTTCCACCACCAAATGAAAAACAAGATATAAGAAAATGCGAGCTCTGATAAATTGAAAGTGTACCAAAACTATTCAGTTATGTCGGTGGAAACAACCTAATAACTACATTAAAACATTACTACTTCTGTGTTAAAAGTAATTCTCGAGTTTTGAGTATCAACCTGTAAACAAAACAAGCTTCACTTTCACGAGAAACAATGCAGAGAACTTTTGAAATAGTTATGCCAGACATGCCTTGAGTTTTAACCGAGTCACAAAAAAACTTTCTTATGGACTCAACAGACTGACAGAAAATATGTAACCACACAATCACCAAGTCAGCACCAATTACAAGTTCCAGAGAAAATGTACAGCTATAAATTGGGATTTCGTTAGTAATATCATGCCTGAATGTCTTTCAGAGAGACTATAATGGCATTGGCACAGACACCAATTTTAAGAAGAATAAATGAACGCAATATTACTTCTAGAGTTACTTCTAGAACCAATTTTAATTTCGCTCTAGAAGTAACGAAATTAAACTTAAGTATCTTAATTCTCCCACCTAAATACATGTAGCATGTATTCCCGCACATCACCGCACTCAACTACTCATGCACCTAATTACAAATTTTTACAATTAATGGCCACTTTTATGGAAAAATAAGTCACTTTCAGTCCATTATACTCCCTCCGTCCCAATTTGATAGTCTCATTTCTTTTGGGCACAAGTTTTAATAAAGTGGTTGAAAAGGTAAAAGTTGTGGTTGAGATTTGAATATAATAAAGTGAAATGACATGGACCACATCTTTCTTTCCAAAAAGGGAAACAGGACCATCATTTTGGGACATCCCAAAAAGGAAATGAAGGACCATCATTTTGGGACGGAGGGAGTATTAATTAATTAGTACTATTAAAAAGACTTGCTTTAAAAAAGGGAAAGCATGAACAATTTGAAAGAGAATATTTCAGAAGGGACAGAAAAGCAAATCGAAGAGGTGCAAGTTAATTAAATTATAAATCCCCTACCATGCGGGAAGTCCGGTCACAAACAGCATGGTGCATGAGAATTCCTGCAGCAACTGAAACATTGAAGGAGTCCACCATGCCTTTCATCGGAATACTGCAGTGCATATCTGACAATCCAAGAGCGTCATCACTTATTCCCCTGCAATTAAAATTTCATTTACTGATGTACTGAGTTGCAATAAAATTTGAGAATCTTTAAAAGCAACCCATAGGTTATTAAAGACAAGACAATACAAATTTTCCGAACAGAGAGCATCTTAGAATTCATTTTCCAGTCTTTCAGAATAAAAAAATGCAAATTTAGCACAACAGAAACACAAATAAGACTTTGGAAACATGAAAATGTCCAATAGTTGTTTTCCAGCCTTTGCGGTGTTTGGTTCACTCTAAAAAACATCAAATGAAAATGGTCATTTGGGCAATGGAAAACCGCTCTAAATCTAGCTAAAATGACTTGCTATATTTTTCCCCAGAAAAATAAATTTGAATCAGCTCAAATACCCCTCTTTCCCCATTATTGTTCTTAATTTTTCTGGATCCGTTTTGGCATTGTTCCAGTCAAATTAATCAGAAAATGGGTCGCTATGAAGCAACCTCCAGAGTACTGGACTGAAGTTTGGAAATCAAGTTCCTTAGAAATTCTTTTTGCAGGCGTTGTCCAAAACCGTTCATGCCAAATTTCCCACAGCTTGACAACTACATGAAGTGTGCGATTCAACAAAAAAAGTGGTACCCAACTTCATCAAGGTCTCCATGGGAATTTGATGAAAGCTTTTGTTACTTTCAATGTCCAGCATCATGCCATTCATGCCCAATCATACTGTTTGAAACATATGTGCTTCAGCTGCTCCTATTTCGGGTTTGTGTCTGGTATACTGTACTATAATCTATTACACTCATTACGAGTATTAATTAAGTTATTTTGATATGTAATTATAATTTTTTATTTTTTATTTTTTATTTATTAAAAACAACTTTGTAATACTCCCTCCGTTCTCTAATACTTGGCCCTCTTTCCATTTTGGGATGTTCTCTATTAGTTGTCTCCCTTTCCATTTTTGGTAAGTTTTTTCAATAAATATACTCATTTACCCTCATTCTCTTTCCTACTTTTTCATTCTCTTTCCTACTTTTACCTTTACACACAACCCACTACACCTTTTATCCTACCCCTATTAATTCCTTCTTAAATCTTGTGCCAAAGGCTATACTCCCATCTATTAGAGAACGGAGGGAGTATAATATTTGTATTTTATGGAAATGAAACATTTCTAACCTTATCCAAATGCACCATGAAAGAAAAGCTATGGTAATTTGATAGTAAAGGTCCCAAATAAATATATCAAGTACACTCAACTAGGGGATTTTGATTACCTATTCTCATTGCCAACAACAATTGCAGTTGGGCATGACCAGTCCATATCATATACTGAGACCTGGTGAGTGGTGAGCACCAATAATGATTACGCGTTCATGATCACATAAAAAATATATATGAAACATAATGCCACTCTCAGGAAAATTCTTTCCAGTTTCCAAAGTAAATAGTGTACCACATCCATTCCAACATGTGTTGTGGCAATGCGATAACCACGCGACTTCAAAACTTTGAAGCACTCAAGGGGAGAATTCCAGAGCTCAATATCCAACCATTTCTCTGCCCCCATACTGACATGGCGATTGTCCCTGTACCTGCACAAATAAAATATATGTAAAGAGTCAGCATAACCATCCAGCTTAATCAGAAGGAGCATCCAACAAATGCCAATTTTATGAGCCAACTTTGGTTGAGAAGTACATGCTCTCATACTTTGAAATGATTTTGAATACAACAGCAACAACATCCAAGCCTTAGTCCCAAAAGATTTTGGGGTTGACTAACATGAAGCGATTTGGTTTAGCATAGTTGCATTAGCCATTAACATAAGGTGTTATAACCATTTGTACAATCAACGTAGTTGATCTCAGTCATAAAACCAAACCATACTAAACCAAGCATAGGTACAGATAAAGCAGTATAGCAAATTATAGACAAGAAATATCAACCCATTGATGTCGGAAGAGCTCAAAATGCATTTTCACCTCAAGTGTCCTTGCACCTTTTTGAGATGTCGCTGGAAATGACATGTACAGACTGAAAGCCAAGAGCATCTGCTGAACGGAATGCAGCAGACACATTGCCAAAATCACTTAACCCCTCCACCACCAAACAAACAGAGTACGTCCTGTTCTTCACAGCTTTTCGAAACCTTTCCTTCCTCCCCTCCATTAGGTAGGGATCAATAGCTTCCAGCACCTCATTACTGCTCAAATACACACATCCAGCTTTAAATTTATCCAAATACGGAAACCAACGGTCCAACTGAACATTGCACTCCCCTTCCAGCCTCCGCTCCATTTTCATAAGCCTGGACACTTCATTTGGTTTTGTAAGCAATACGGCCACTGTGTCTTCTGGAACTTGAAGGTTATTCTTCTGGGCTGAAATTTCTTCAGTGCTACAATCGATTTCTAGTGATACTGCAGCTTCACTGCAACTATAACGCCTTACAATTTCACTACTAGCTTCAATTCTAGAACCTAAACTCGAAATTAGTCAGGCAAGAAGTATATCGATCAGTACTTTCTTTAACTAAAATTCAACAATAAACGTAATGAACATATAAGACTGGGTTTCATATTCAAGAAACCATAACTACATGAATGTAAGACATATGACTTTGAGAGTTGGAGTGCGTTTGTGTACCTGAATCAGGGGAGAGGATGAAGGACCTTCGACGGGGAGGAGGGAGTCTGAAGACGTAAGGAGAGAAAGAATGGAACTTTAATGGGGAGGTGAAGGTCCCAGGTTTGCACTGTCTACGGAATAATGGAGAACGGAGTAGGGTTTTACATGCGCTCATGGTTGCCAACGGAACCACAGTTGAGGCTGGATGAAAGGCTGAGGCAAATTTGAGGATGACGAGATTGGATAAAAAATAATTCAGAACCTAATAATCTTGTAAAAATAGAAACTAATAATTTTGCAAAAATAATTCAAATAACTCAAACATTTAACAAAAATCGGATTTAATACACCAAACCCCTTTCTGAAAAATACATCAATCCCCTTTGTGTTTTAATTAAGAGAAAAGTGTCAAATTGACCCTCTGTACGGAAACTCAATTATGACCACGTACTTTAAGTTTCATAAATTAAGTCCTCCTTCTTTGACATTTTCGTCGAAATCGACTTTTAGCAGGTAACCCGTCCGATCAGCAAGTTACCTAATGTGGCGCACACGTGGCCTGACACCTAGCACGTGTGGTGGTCAAGTCAACTTTTTTTTCCTTTTCCTTTGGATGACAACTCCAATACCCATTTAAAAAATGGAGTGTCGTACCTACCACTCACCTGATTGGTTCAAATCATTACATCATTTTTATTGGTCCATGTGGACAAGGGTATGATACCCTAAGGTAGCATAGAATCTATCTATACTTTGTCTCTCTTTATTTTCTTTCTTTTTTCTTTTCTTCTTTCTCCTTCCCCATCCCCCTTCCCTTCCTCTGCCCAGGGCCCCAGACCCATTTCTTTCCCCCATTTTCTTTCTTCGTTTCTTTTGGTTTTCCTTTTCTAGTTTTCTTCATTTATGCGCTTCTCTTTCTCTATTCATGTTCGTGCAGAAGAAACAAGGACGAGATCCAGTGCAGCACCACAATTCGATTCCAGAAGCGATGTTCGCCGGAGTTCGTTCCAGAGCAGCCGGGAAGTTCGATTCGACCCTAAAACAGAAGCGGCAGTTCGCTCCCTCGCTGAAGCTCATTCCAGAGCATCACCGGAGTTCGATTCGAGCGGAAAATAGAAGTGACGATTCGCCGGAGTTCGTTCAAGAGCAACACCGGAGACGGTTCACTATTTTTGAGACTAAATTCGAGTTCTTTGGCTAGAAAGGATCTTTGAGCAACTGGGGATGAGTTTTGGGGGCTGATTTGTAGCTCGTCGGGACTTCTTTTGTGACTCTTCGGGTATTTTTTCCGGCGATTATGAGGCTCGGCCCAAAAAATAAAATATGCAAACGAGATCACCTTGAATAGGCGCACCTCCTCATTGCGACCTCATATTTTTAGTTTGATTTTCCAAGCACTCTCCATTTTTGCGCCCACGGTTCATGCGGTGAATCTTTCATAGACCGGAGTAGAAGAATGGTGGCCATGGAAGAGAAATGCCTTGTTTGGTAAATGGTTGTTAGCTGTTGCTGGTAGCTGGTTGTGTGAGCTGTTTCGCAACAGCTGGTTGTGTTAACTGTTTTGACCGACTGGTTATGTTGGCTGATTATAAATAACTGTTTGGTAAAATTGGTTCTTTCGAAATGGCTGATAGAGTGTAAATTGAACCAGCCAAATGAAGAAGCTGTTTCGCTTCCATGGCTCCCCTTAGCTTCTTCCACAATCCATTTTTTCAGCTTTTCAAACTCAACAAGCTAATTTTAAAAGTCATTTACCAAACATCATTATTAGCTTCTTTGACTAATCAAACAGTTGAAATGGGTCAAACAAGCTAAAAGCTGGTTGATAAGCCATTTGCCAAACATACCGAAAGAAAGAAAAAAGAAAAGGGAAAGGAAAAAAGAAAGGGAAAAAGAAAAGAAAAATTGACGTGGGAGCAGCCCACGTGTGCCCCGCATAAGAGTGGACATTAAGCTATGAAAGACATCTCCGATGTCAGTTGTTATACCGTGGGAGCAGCCCACCATGAGCATGCTGCTCCCACAGACAAAAATACGTGTGTTACTGTTTACGTGTGAACAGTAACTTGTTTTTTGTTTTTCCAGTGTTCAGTAGCAGAGTAATGTAACTCGCGTGTAAAGAAATGTAACTCACGCTGATCAGAAATGTAACTGCAGGCAAGTCCAAATGTAACTTGTCTAATACGAACTATAAGAAATAAAACATTGATTTCCTTGAAATAAGGAGTCTGATTGCTCAATTATTTTACGTAAATAGTGAATATGTTTTGTTTTTAATATTAAGACCATAAATAATTTTTTCCCTTAAAATCATTTTTTTTTTTGCCAAAAAATCATTTTTTTACAAAAAAATCATTTTTCCTCCATTTTTTCCCTTGCAAAAAAACTCTTTTTTTGTTTCAATAGCATGTGTTTGCTTAAATAGTGAATATGTTCTGCCAAAAAATAATTTTTTTTAAATCACTTTTTTGCTAAAGAAATCATTTTTTGCCTTGTTTGGCAAAAAATGATTTTTTTGTTTCAATAGTAGAGCTTTATGTTGCGATGTAACTTATGTTATAGAAAATGTAACTCACGTTGATGAAAAATCTAACTTAGGTCAATGTAAAATATAACTTATTAAGGTAAGTCCACATGTAACTCGTGTAAAGGAAGATGTAACTCACACATAAAAAGATGTAACCTGCGCATAAGAAGATGTAACTTCATATACTATCAAATGTAAACAATGAAAACATGAAGTCTAATTGCTTAAATTTTTTTAGCGTAAATACTTAGTATGTTTTGTTTTTTGTATTAAGGCCATAAAAATGTTTCAAAGAAAAATAATATTTTTTGCCACAAATATTAAATTTTTTTGCCGAAAAATCATTTTTTCCAAAAAAAATCATTTTTGCTTGCAAAAAAATTATTTTTTGGTTTCAATGGATGGATTTATTTCGTGATGTAACTCGTGTTATGAAAACATGTAACTCGTGCTAAAAAATCTAAATTAGGTGTATGCAAAATATAGCTTGTTGAGGCAAGTCTAAATGCAAGTCTAAATTAGATGTAACCCATGGACAACAAGATGTAATTCGCCTATAAAAAGATGTAACTTCATATAATATCACATGTAATTCCATAAATTGGCTATAAACATAACTCACACATATGAAAAACGTAATATAATTCATGTTTTATGAAATTTAAATCGAAAAAACAAATTTTATGTCTTAAAAAAACTAAAAACATATCAAAGAGATAAGAAATATATTTTTTTTATAAAGAGATAAAGAAATATATTATAGAAAAAAAATTATGAACATGAAGATAAAGAATTTTTTTAGATGAATTATTATGTATTGATAAAGAATAAAAATAGATTCAATTATAATTTAAGATGAAGATAAAGAAAGTAGGATTGCAATTAAATTTTTAGTATTTTAATTTGATGGAAAAAGAAAAGAATTGAACAAAAGAAAAAAAAGAAAAGCAAAGGAAAAGGAAATAACAAAGTTGGAGACAGAGGAAGTGGGAAAAGGAAAGCAACGTAACTTTTCTAAAAGTGGGATCGTCACAACATGCGGAAGGTGGGTCAGTCCCACGGTATAATTTGCGCTCCGATGTGCCCCACGTGTGCAACACAATGCAACTCTTTCTAGTTCAAATAAATAATATCAAATGTCAAATTATTAAAAGGCTTTCTTATCGATGTCATAAGTAGTGGGGTGATTGGACATTAAGCGTCAAAGGCTTTCTTATCGATGTCATAAGTAGTGGGGTGATTGGACATTAAGCAATGAAAGACGTATCAGATGCATAAAGTCTCAAAATTCAATTAAATGTCCATGTAAAATTTATTTAATAATAAAAATTGTTTTTACTAAAAATAAATGACTCCTAGCCGGTTCGTGTTCTCTCTTGAAGGATTCCTAAATATACGTTTTACCATTTCTAAAATACATGGTTATGGTTTATATATACATCTATTGTACGGAATATTTTTTTTTATTTTTATTTTGAAAAAAATTATACCATAGTAATAGGTTGAGATCTCCAAAAGAAGAAATTGTATCGCCATGACCGCATACCTCAAGGTCACCCCTCCAAGAGTTCAAATAAAAAGACCTCTTCCCGTGCAAAGTGCGAAGAAATGCACTTTTACATGTTTCACTTGCACTTTAGCGTGTTTATCTTTCACTTGTTCGCGATAACGAAAAAGTGCAACATATTTACGAATTTGCCACCGTGATTTTGGTCGAATTTTGTGCATTTTTGGCTCGTTTTGAGCCATTAGATGTGGAACTGAATGCACAAGATTCATTCTCACTTTGCATGGGAAGATGTGGAAATGAATGCACAAGATTCACAATATATATATATATATATATATATATATATATATATATATATATATATATATATATATATATATATATAAAAGATCAAATAAAAAGAGGTTCTCCCGTGCAAAGTGCGAACAATTGCACTTTTTCTTCACCGCGTTGCACTTTTGCGTGTTTCTGTTGCACTTTTTCGCGATGGCAAAAAATTTCGTTTTATTTACGAAATTGCCACCGCGTTTTTTATCAAGTTTAGTTCACTTTTGGCTCATTTTAAGCCATTAGATCTCAAAATGAACACACGAGATTAATTCTCACTTTGCATGGAAAGACCTTTTTGTGTGTGTGTGTGTGTGTGTGTGTGTGTGTGTGTGTGTATATATATATATATATATATATATATATATAGGGAGGAGTTCAAATGAAAAGTGGTTTTTCCCGTGCAAACTGCAAAGTTTTCACTTATTCATGTTTCGCTTGCACTTTTTCTTGTTTCCGTTGCACTTTTTGGCCATTTTGATTTTGGCCAAATTCGGCCAAAATGACGGTGGCAGTTTTGTAAAGCAACCAATTTTTTTGAGCTACCGCGAAAAAGTGCAACGAAAGCAAGAAAAAGTGCAAGCGAAACATGAAAAAGTGCAAACTTTGCACTTTGCACGTTAAGACCACTTTTTATTTGTACCATCCCATATATATATATATATATATATATATATATATATATATATATATATATATATATATATTGATTAAAATTATCCTGTCGGGTCGGGGTGGGGATGGAAGATTCCACCTTTTGGACCAAATATATTGATAAAAATCAAATCTGAGATCTCATCTTGGTAAAGACAATTATCGTTTCCTTACGTTTTTTCTGAAGGAGGAGGTTTTTGTGTCGGTCAGCAAGTCTAAGTGACATTCTACACACAGACTTCACGCTTCACGGTGTGCTATTTTTCTCTTGCCATGTAATCTCAACATTCTAACGGACTACCTACGTTGGAGGAAAAAAAGAGTAGTCCAAATCTAATTTAATGATGTGGCACACTTTACATGGACTAGACATCAATGCATTGTGGATCCTCTAAGCAGGTAACCTGCTAACTGGCTGGTTACCTGCTAAAAGCCGGTTTTGACGAAAATTATAAAGTGTGAGGACTTAATTGATGAAATTATAAGTACGGGGCTGAATTGACTTTCTGTACATAGTACGAGGGCAAATTTGACACTTTTCTCTTTAATTAATCATGCACATAACCCATTTTATAAATAAATTTAATGATTTGGAAATTACTTTTCCTAATATTCTGATTGATCATGCAAGTAAATATGTCAAAATCTTTAAATCATACAAAAATGTTAATCATTTTTCTTTTATTTGACGATCGAAACTATTCATAGAAGGGATTTTGCGCATAATTAATTAAAACATAATGGATTTGACGCATTTTTAAATCACATGAAACTAATGCGTCGAATTCTGATATCACATGGGGGTTTAGTGCATTAAATCCAAAAACCTTGTGTAGTAGCATATGACTCCCTTATGAAGTCATATGAACATATATGACTCCTCAATAGCCATTCATTTGCATAGTGGAGAGTCTCCCTTTAAAAATGAGTGGATATTATGTGTCCAGCTATGTCATATGATTACATGAGCGAGTCATATGATACTCCATAAAATTTCCTAACATTCAAAGGGAGTGAGCAGTGGTGGAGGTTGAGGGGGGGCAATTGGTCCTCCTCTATCCCAAATTTTAATTTTTTTATATTTTCGGTGTAAAAACGTATGTGTAAAAATTTATCTGAAAAAAATATTTATATCGGTTCACCCCAAACTTCGATCCTGGCTACGCCCCTAGGTGTGAGGTCAACACCCCAAAACTTGCATAAATAATAAAATTACCTTAAAATTTATATAAAAAGTTATGTTGGTGCCATGATTTTATGGTTTTTCTTTCACAAATGTAAATTTATGGTGTTAAATAAATAATTTAAATACATTTATAATTTTCTGATAACATTTTATATATAGTTCAGGATATAAATATTACATATACAAATTTAGGATATTTATCTCACACACCTTCAAAATTTGGGATATTTAAATTATTTTTCCCAATAATTTAAAATTTCATAGATACGATTTTTTATTTCTGATTGGACAAAAATACTCTCATAAGATGAAAGTAATGTTGCCTCCATGTCATCAAACTGTCGGTTGCTGGACCGGCCGCCGCCGATATCTTTGCATAATGCTAACCGCCGCCGCCTCCACCGGAGTTCGCCACCATCGAGCTACCACCATGAACAGACTAACCATGGTTATGCAAGGAAACTAAGGTCAATTAGTTATATTAATTAATTATATTACAGTAGAATTGTAATGTTTAATCCTATTTAAGCAAAACAAAAGGTGTTGTCCTATTTATGGAAGTTGCGTAAATTTTAGTTCTAATTTGAGCAATTTTCTCATAATTGTTCATATGAAATTGGTTATTTGCCACATCACTATTAGTCGTGTGTACAACTTTATCAATTTTTCTTTTAAAGTAATGAATTTGTATTTTACTTTATTTTTTTGTCGTCTGAATAAACTCAATCACACGTTTCTTTTTTTCATGCTTAATACAAAGTTGACATTATACAATATAATGGGACGTTCGTAATATTTGTTTGAACTTATTATCTTATATGTTGTCCATTTTGTTATTGAGCGAGCTTGGTGACATCCATTTTCCGTTCATCAATATTATTAGTCAAGTTTTTTACGAAATACGTTATTTTTTATTACACACACTGAATTATGTACTAGTAATAATCAAAATAAGTAACGTTAGAGGTACTTTCCTAGCAGAATTGATAAAAACTATTTACCAAACATGATTATTTTAG